CTACAAATCCTAATGCCCTTAGCAAATTACAGTTCCTGGGATTCTTTGCGGGGGAGGGGGGTGTTTTTAATGCAGGAGGTGTATGTAGTCCCCCCCCCCCCGCAGCACCTCCTTACTGGCTCCTATCCACCCTGCACTGCTTCCAGCCCCAGAACCAGGGGCCAAGAAAGGCTGTTGCCTCTGGGTAGTGGATTTGTGAAGCCATGGAAAGACAGTAAGTGGTTTTTTTTAATCACTTGGGTTTGTTCTACCGCCAGAGACAGAAGGTGCTTGTGAGATTTTTCTGCTTCAGGTGATAAAATAAGTTGATCCACCTTACGTACTATACAAAGAGGGGGGGAGGGATTCGCTGCTCTTCCTCAGGCTGGCCTTGGGCTGGACCTGAATAAAAAGGGGTCAGAGAAGCTAGACTTGCAACTGGGCTGCTTGCGCTCAGCAATCTCAGTGGCCTTGTGACCCACCCTTAAGGAAACTCCTGGGATGCCTGCCTGCCTATAAGCCTATTACCAATTACATAGCCTCACAGCTGAACAAACACTCTTGCGTGCTTGAAAACCTTCCATTCTCGACTTCCGGGGTGGCGCCATCGGCAATGGCGGACTCCCTCTGAATTGGAGGGACTAGCTCCGCGCGAAACGGGTCTTCTCCGCTACGGCGAAGCGGGGACCCTTTTAAAAATCACAGGCGGATGAAGCCTGTGACCATGGGACTCGGCGGGCACCCTTAGCGCCCCCCCAACCCGCAAAGGAACCCACTAACGGGCTCCGAAGCGAAGAGGGGGGAAGTGGCGCGGTGCTGTGAGTCAACTGCTATTTCCGTGGAGCGAAGCCGCACAGCTGTTGCCGGAGAGCGCTGCCTTTTTCCTGGGACAAATTGGCTTCTAAAATAAGCACCCGTGAGTACTTAAACTTTGAACAATTGGACTTTAAATAAGGACTTGCGAGCAGAAAGGAATTGGACTTAAAAATTTTACTTCAATTTGGTACTGAAACGGGAAGGTCTAAACAGGAAGTCAGCCTTCCGTTTCTTTGTAGACAGAATAAAGCAAAGACAACGTAAACTAGAGCTCAGAAAATCGCCTCTAAAGGATTGGCTTTCATCATTTAAAATTGTCGAACCCCCCTTCGGCAGCAGGAGAAGAAGGGGGACCTTTTCTGGACTGTTTAAACCTGCAGAAGTGAGTTTAAAGTAAGTAACTTTCCACCGTCCTGATCCTGGAGCGGGGTGTCAGGACTGACGTTTGAAGCTCATTGACCAGAAACAAGCGCTTTTGACAGATAGCTAAAAGAAGAGGAACATAGTGATTCCATTGTTTCCTTTCGCACCTTAAAGGAACAAATATTGACAAAATATCTGAAAAAAGGAAACTCTGTTGCTAGACTTGTCTCTAAAAGAAAGATTAAACAGAAGTTTTCCCCCTAGAGGGAGACTGTGAAACTGTAACCAACTCCTGGGAGCTGGCACCTGTTACAGATTACAATCGTGGGAATAGACATCTGACCTTCAGGACAATGTATTCAGAAGCTCTGTTGTGTGCTTTCTATAAAACAAATGCCCTACTGGAACAGTTACATGAGAAGACGAATTTGATGGCTGATTCGATTAGAAATTTTGAACAGGCAGTGGGAAATTTTGAACAGGCAGTGGGAAAATATGTGGAGCCAACCCAGGAATTAAACCAGGAGTGTGTCTTGACAGAACAGGCCCTACAGGAATATGAGCTTTCGGATTTGACAAATGAACTTGGAAAAAGCCAGATTTGGAAAGAAAAAGTTTGGTTTGGTTTGGAAATGGGGGGTTGGATAGACCCTCCTATGAAATTGGACTTTTCAAGTCTGGCAATGGGCCGTGAGATGTTTGGGATTGTGGGGGCTCTCAATTTTGGAGGGATTCTGAAACATGTTTTTAAATACCACATGGAATTTAGTGTCGATTATGGAAAAGGGGCTGATCTGTCGAGAAGGGTCAAAAATATTGCCAAGTTGGAGTTCCCACGAGTGAAAGGAGCAGGAGACAAAGGAAAATACAGCTATAAATATGAAGAAGAGCCGCGGAAGGGACATGGAATGGACTTAAGGGCCTCGGATATAAGATTACCAGGTTAATGCGCCAGATTGATGGGATAATAAGGACTGACAAAACCCGGGACCAGGAGGAAGGGATGCTGGATGAAGATTGGATTTGTTTTTATTTCTTTTTTTCACTACTAGGACTGTTTTATAGAATTGATGAATGTTAGAAAAATGTTGGAATGAAATTACTTGGCTTTAGTAAAAATGTTTAAAGAATTACGTAAGAATATTATGGTTATGAGAAGTTGGTAAAAATAAGATTTAAGTTTTAAGTCTCAAGGTTTTTTTATAGTAAGATAAGATTAAAATAGTTTAAGGTAATGTAATGACAGAATATTATGAAATATGGAAAGGATTTGCTGTGACAATTAACAAACAGGATACAAGGAAGGGGAGGAGGAGGAGGTCAAGGAAAGAGGGTAATGACAGTTGAGGAGTTGAGAATAATGGATTTGTTTTTAAATGTTTTTAAATGTTTGTGGTGTATTTTTTTTTTTTCTTTCCTATTTTGAATTTGTATATATATGGTTGGAAGTGGTTTGTTTTCTCTCTTTTTCTACTTTGTTTTTCTTTCGTAACTTAAAAAAAAAAAATTCCCCCCAATAAATATCATTAAAAAAAAAAAACAAAAAACCTTCCATTCTCACCTTGAAGATCACTGCTAAGCTCCTGCCTGCCCTCCCCTCTGTTTATTGCCCATCACCGAAGGCTCCTCATTTGCTCTGCAATCTCTTCCAGGGATCTTCTAAAAAATAAGTCCTGTTGAGTCTGATGAGCTTTACAGTATCAGGTAGGGATGGCCAGTGTCTCAATTTTTATTTCTCTCAATTTCTCATTTTTTTAATCCTAGGTTTAGAAATGTAACAAAGATACATGCAATTTTTAAAAAAAAGTCTGGATGGAAATTCATACACTTTTCACACTTATTTCTTCTAAGGCCAGATTTGGCCCTTGGGGCTGATGTTTACCACCCTGGATAATTTACTCTATTTCTGCATCAAAGTTCAAAATGGCGGAACATTATTTTTTTTTAAGACCAAAAATTAAGAACCAAGCCAGAGAAATTTGGTTCCTTTCTCTGCAATTTTCTAAATGAATTGGTTGTGGCATTTGTATTCCACTCAGCTTTTAGTGTATTTTAATCTTACCAGAAGTTGCATACACACGGTGCATCTAAAGCACATTCCCACCAGTAAGAATCATGGGAACTGTAGGTGACCCCTCAGAGCTACAATTCCCAGCACTCTTAATCGGCACTTCCCAGGATTCTTTTGGAGGGAGGGAGGGAAATACGTTTTAAGTGTGTTGTAAATGTATGGTGTGGGATACCGCCTTGGTCTTACCAGTTTTAATGCTGTGGATTTATATTTTTTAATGTAACAAGTCTTCAATTCCTATAAAGCACCTCAAAGCCCCTCTTTAGGGCCAAGAGGCAACATATAAATGTTTTGCTTTCATGTATTTATTTATAATTTTAAAACCCCATATTGATACATGTTCAAAACAGCAGCACTAAGCAAACAAAACTGACAGCTGTCTACAATTTTAGAGATGAAATGAAATCTCTCCCCCTTTCCCTTCCTTGAATTCACCCTGATTCACATATGGCTAAAAGGGGGCATTTGATTTCAGAAGTTTCAGGAGACACTTAATGTTTTCTTAAGAACATCAGAAGAGCCTAGCTGTGGGTCAGGCCAAAGGTCCCTCTGGTCCAGCTTCCTGTTCTCACAGTGGCCAGCCAGAGCCCCCAGAGGAAGCCGCAAGCAGCACCTGAGCTCGAAAGCATTCCCTCCAGTTGTGATTCAGAGGCATACTGCCCCCAACAGGGGAGGTGGGACACAGCCCTCATAACTGCAGTGGCACCTTTTCTTTTCTGCCACATCCTTTAATAGTAGAGCTCTGCTCCCCATCACCACATGCAGCAGCAAAAAGTTTTGTGTTTTTTTTAAGGGAAACTGCAGTTGCTGCACAGTTACTTCTTAATGGGTCAAGACTGCACCGCTAAGGAAAGCTTTTCCCCTGTCATTCCTAAAGGTGTCTGCAATGATCTTTAAAAAGAGTGTCTTTTGACCAGAAACCTCGTTTCACACACCTGGGACACAGTGGCAGATTCAGCTGTTCTCTCAAAGCAAGAGAGCTGTCCTCTCCTGTCAGATGCAGTGAGTGAACCACTATACTGTAATTCTGGGGTGAGTGGGTGGGTTGTGGGGCAGGGTAGGGAGGGATTCTCATACAACCCACTTGTTCCCATTTACCAGTCCTTCTTTCCTTGCACCTCTTCCTTGTGAAGCACTGCCACAGCATGTTAGAACTGGAAGGGGACCCTGCTCAACTGCAGCACCCCTGGCAGACAGCTGTCCAGGCTTTGCTTGAGCTCCTCCAGCTGTGGAGAGCCCACCCTCACCTCTTGATGCAAGTCTGCTCCACAAACTCGGCTGCTTTCACCCTGTTCTTGAAAGCAAGCCTGCTTCATCTTCTGTGTGACAGCCCTTCAGATATTCAAAGACAGTTCTCACGCCTCCCCTTAATCTGCTCTTTTCCACACTAAAACATATCCAGCTCTTTCAACCATACCTCATAGGTTTCCATGCCCCTGTGATCAACATCAACCTCTGGAGGCAATGGACTTTCTGAAGTGTGGTGTCCACAACTGAGAAGAGTTGTCCAAACAACCCACTCTGAGAAGAGAAGAATACAGAGCTCCCACTTAGCCTCTGGGGACGCCTTTCTAACTATTTATTTGCATGCATACATATCATATATACCATATTTTTCCGTGTATAAGACTAGTTTTTACTTTAAAATTATGTGAAAAACTGTGGGCCATCTTATACACTGGGCAATCTCCCCCCTATTTTCTTAAACTGGTGTCCCTAAAAATAGGGGGTGTCTTATACACAGGGGCGTCTTATACACAGAAAAATACGGTGTGTGTGATTGTGTGTGTATATGTGTGTATGTGTATACACACACACACACACACACACATATATATGCAATGTAATTCTAGGCAAGTTTACTCTGAGCATAAATCCCATTTATTCCAGCAAGACTTACACTCTTGAGGATCGCAGCCTCAGGCTCACGTTGGGCCTCTGGAAGTTAAAACTATGTGGGAGTGGGATGAAAACTGATTCTAGTGCACATGCACAAAAATGGCCGGCACATGGACACTAGCACTGATGTGCGCCTTTTCCCTTCCACTCACCCTGCCAGGAACTGCTAAGTGCTTTTTTCTAGCAGAAGCACAATCACAGCCATTGTGAGGGTTCAGTCACTCTGACTAAAGCTCTCTTAGGAACTGTTTACTAACACACCCTGATTCAGGAACAGCAAAAAGAGAGAGGCGTAAATGAATACAAGAAGCAAGGAGGCAGAAGTAGGGAATGGAATAGACTGCATTGCACAGAGACAAAAGTGTCCCAGCTTCTAGTCTCTATGAAACTTTGGAGATGAATTCATTCCATCCATGCTTCTAGCCAGAAAGTCAAACACAAACACATCTAGACACTCATACATTCACGCCCCTTGCCATCGTATGCCACAAAACAGCCAGCGTCTCTGGCTGAATAATTTTAATAAGATGACGCAGCCTGTAATTCCATGCTTGCCTGTGCAGAGAAAGAGAACAAGAGAAAGAGAGAGAGAGTTAGGTAACACACCTTGGTCAGCTGCATTCTTGTGGCACTTCTTGGGCTCCCCCGGGGTGCAGAGCAGCAATCCGTTCCCCAACAATCGGACCCTCCTTCCCAGCCCATACGATCCTTTCTGCTTCCTCTCTCTCTTTCTCCGGCAAAAGTTGTGGGTATTTCCCCCCCTTCTCTGGATCTTTGGAACTGCCTTGCCTTACAAACTCCTCCTCCCTGTCCCACTCTTTCCACCCCCTTGCTCTCCATCTCTCGCACACACACACACACACACACACACACACACACACACACACAGAGTCTTAATAATATTTAGCTCAGTGCCAGAGCAAACTCAGCCATGCCACATGAAGCTGTGTGAGTTTGCAAAACTGGGCCTGTAAACAGGTGGCAAAGTGGAGCCCCCTGAGATGTAGGTAGATTAGTATGTTTTGTGTGTGTGTGTGTGTGTGTGTGTGTGTGTGCACATACAGAGAAGAAGGTCATAACCTTTTCAGGGAATAACATGGAGAGGGAAACGCAGGGGGAGATGACATATTGTTGGAAATGGGGAGGATGCCTTGTCAGAACACATGCACTCCAAAGAGCGTAACGGGATAATTGGAAACATATTATCCCCTGGAAAATCCCTCCAGAGCAGCTTTGGAGTAACAAAGAGACATGTGTACCATTCAGCCAGATCTGTATCCTGTTTCCTTCCAGCTTTTGGTGCTCTGGGTCAGCGGCTTCAGGGCCTGCGTCTCAAGAGGGGGAGGAAAAAGCAGCAGCAGCAGCAGCAGTTGGGTTTCCACTTCCTAAGCAGGAATATATGCATGTGCAGCCATACCTGGAGTGAACTTCCTGTCTCTCTTTGCCAGGCTTTCTCTTACTCTACTCCTCTATCACGGATGTGCCTTTCCCTTGCTAATGATAAGCACAAGTAGGACCTGTAACAAAATGTTGCAGTGTGAGTGCCCTTGTTTAGGGCTCCAACCAGCCTGCCATATCTTTTCCCCAAGAGGCTCCATTCCATCCTCTCTCCAATAGCCAGCCAGCCTCCCGCGGCCACCAAGTGTGTTCAGTTTACACTGGGCTGCTTGGGAGATTCCCCAGCCTTAGGATGAGTATGATGAGGGTTCTCCAGACCTTGGAACTCTTTCCTAGTCTGCCAGTAACTCCTACTTGGGTGTTTCGGCTGCATAAGAAGCAGCACTTGAAGAACTGAGGTCGCTCTTAGGATTTACGATTCCAGACAAAAACAAGTCACTCAAAGCATAGCACACAGATGGGGCTAGATGAGTGATGTCAAGCTGTGCAACAGGGCATACTTTTGCACAGCTAGAAATTAATTTATTCTTTAACTGAACTTTGGCTTCTGTGAGGAGGAGGGGGCCGGCTGCCTCCCTACATGATTCACCAGTGCTCTCTAGCCATACCTTCTTGCAATGAGCCTCTGGTGGAGGGATGGAGAATAATTCTCCTCTGTCTCTGCATCAGATGTGACAAGATCAGGAGTCAGCAACCTTTTTCAGCCATGGGCTGGTCCACCATCCCTCAGACCATGCGGTGGGCTGGACTATATTTTTGTGGGGGGGGGAATGAACGAATTCCTATGCCCCACAAATAACCCAGAGGTGCATTTTAAATAAAAGGACACATTCTACTCATGTAAAAACATGCTGATTTCTGGACTGTCCACGGGCTGGATTGAGAAGGGGATTGGGCCGCATCCGGCCCCCGGGCCTTAGGTTGCCTACCCCTGGACTAGATCATACAATTGCTTCAGACAGAGAGAGACACACAGCAGACTGCCTGCCCTCTGAGGTATGCCCTAGAACAGCAATTTATGCCAAAACTCAGCTCCCAGACACACTAACTTTGAACATAAGAATGAGACGTGCCTCCAGTTTTAATTTGGGGGATGGGGAAATTTGGAAAGCAACCTGTGAGGTGCACATCATGGAATCTACAAGTGGATATCACTGGGTGTTAATTAAATTCAGCCGAAGTTAATGCTGCATTTAAAAGCATGTTATCCAAAGACATCCTTCCTGTCCTCCCACCATTTTCCTAGCAATAAGGGGGAAGGCAAGTATTAATTACCATTACAAACAAAGGCATCCCCAGGCTTGCAAGTGACAAATTCTTACTGACTAGAAGGAGGAAGCAGCAGCCTCCCACAGGGGACAGCACAGCTGTTAAGGGGCTGGGGGTTCTGACAATGGAGCTGACATGCACAGCTATAGAGCTATTTGCAAAGAGCTCTGCCAAATGCTGCAGGTGGTTCCGGATGTGTTCAGATAGTCCAAGTTTAGGGGATCAGATGTTCAGCAGAGAGGGAGATGTGGGAACATAGGAAGCTGCCTTATACCAAGTCATACTGTTAGTTAATCTAGACCAGTATTGTCTACACTGAGGGCTTATCCACGCTGACCTTTTGCCCCACACTTTCCAGGTACAGGCTCATGCTTTAAAGCTTTGTGTCCAAGCAGCACCCTTTCTTTCACCTCTGAACTTTACTTGCAAAAACCTGCTCCTTAAAGCAGAAGTGCAACAAATGGCAATTTGGGTTTTCCATGGATTGCAGAATTGTAGAATTGGAAGGGACCCCTAGGCACTGGTGGAGGAAGAGGGGTGCGGGGGCAGGGCGATCCCGGTGGGGTGCCACTGCAGCTGCCCCCCTCCTCCGCTGGGCGCCACACCCCTGCAGGCGGCATGCCCCACCCCCGGGACCCGTGCCAGCCCCACCCCCGCCTGCTCTCCATCCCCCAGTGCCGGAGCATGAAGCTCCACCACTGCCCCATGGGTCATCTAGTCCAACCCCCTGCAGTACAGGAATCTTTTGCCCAACGTAGGGCTTGAACCCACAACCCAGAGATTCAGAGTCTCATGCTCTACCAACTGAGCTATCTCCTATTGGGTGATAAAGAGCGGGTTTTCACAGGGAAAGCTGTGGAACAAAGAAAATAGTGCTCAGACATGGAGCTTCAAAGTGTGGACTGTGCCTGGAAAGTGCAGAGGAAAAGTCAGTGTGGATGAGCCTTGACTGGCAGGGGCTCTCTAGGCAGGGATCCCTCCCAGCCTTACCTGAGATTGAGCCTGGGACCTTCTGCATGCAAAGCAGGTGCTCTACCACTTAGCTATGGCCCTCCCCACAAACCTGCTGCTTCCCAGGAAGATTCCCACCCAGGCAAGTAATTAGGGGCAGGTAACCCCACCTGGAATGGCAGGCAACAATGCAGGCAGGAGCGGCAGGAGGAGCATTAGGCTTGGAGGGGAGGTGCTTGCTAGTCTGAGGCTACCTACTCAACAACGGAAATAAATAGTACCAACTGTTCACTTGCAAAGCTAGCAGCATTGACCTGATTATGGGCTTTGGCGGCATTAGGGGAGCTTGTGCATGTTCGCACTCATGCCCATGGAAATGTACACCATTAGTGTCTCTTCAACAAACAGTGTGGCCATGAGTGATTGTGATCGGATCCATGCACTTAGTTGTATCGCCAGACATGACACGGGATGGACCATACAGTCAAATGGAGCATCCAAACAATGCAACACGCTCCAAATGAAATTTAAATGCGAGGTACTAAAAGTTTAACAAATGGAGGAGGAGGGAATGCCTTAGACCTGGGCCAGATCTGTATTCAAGGGAGCCCAGAGAAGCAGTGCAGATCGACTGCAACGGCAGCTGAGAGCTGGCGTATTAATTTTAAACTTATTTATTGTGTGACCTTATAACCCGCCCTTGATCACAAGGTCCCAGGACAGGGTGCATACAATTACTCACACTTCCTCAGAGCGACACAACAGCAGAGGCATTGTGGGAAATGGAATGACACCTAGACCCACCTTCCAGGTGCTGCTTAGAACACTGGGCAGGGTGAAGAACAGATAGAGAGGCTTGTGGCACTTCCAGACAGTTACTGTTTTGGGGGGTGAGATTCAATCACATGCCTAGTAAATTCAGGTTGTGAAATTGGAGTGGATTTAGTGCTCTTCTGCACCAAAGAAACCTGCTCTCCCCCCCCCAAGACATTGAACTTTTCATTATAAGGAAAGTGACGGGAAAGTGCAATGGAAAGTGCGGGATAACAATAGCTTTGACCCAACATCATATAACCTCCCTGCAACCAAACCAAAATGGGGGCTGACTAACTAGCCAGCAGCATCTCGCTTCTCTGCAAACAAATCAGGGATGACTGCTCAATAAATAAGTCCTCTGGAAGCAACCACAGCACAGACCTCGGCCGCAGGCCCTGCCAAGGTGATGGGTGGTGGGCAGCAGCTGCCCAAGCATGGCAGGTGCCAACTTCTGTCCTGTTGAATATTGCAACTTCCCTGCTTCCCACTTTCTGGCTTGTAACTGAGCACAAAACCGCCTACAACAGAAGAAGAAGCCTTCTGGATGCATGCATCATACAGAAAAGAAGTAAGTACAGTGGTACCTCGGGTTACAGACGTTTCAGGTTACAGACTCCACTAACCCAGAAATAGTACGGACCTCCGGAACGAATTAAGTACGTAACCAGAGGTACCACTGTATTTTAATATGAAAGTTGCCAAGTCCAGGCCCACTGAAGGCTCTTGTATCTCTTAAGCCTTTCACAGAAGGGGAAATTCTGCCAGACACAGCTTTGCCCATCTGATACAAAACATAGCCACACTCGACAACTTTGCATTTATCAAAGATACAGAAGAAGATACAGAAGGTCAGGATGTGTAACAAACCTACCCTGGGAATGACCAGCTCACTCTGGGTGAAGAGGTGTGGCAAGAAAAAGGACCCCAGGTTACAGCACCAAAAGGATTAAGGGCCAGGTCAGGTGCCAAAGAAAGATGAGCAGAGCACTTTTGGGATTAGCCACCCACACAACCCAGAACAGAGAAAGGGTGGAGCTGTAAGGCAGCTTTGCAAAAGGAGAGCAGGTTCTTTCTAAGAGAGGCTCAAAGCAAGGGCAGCAAAGACCAGAGACAAACAGGCAGTGCTTATATCTAGCATGCCAGCATTTCCCAGCCTGCTCTGAGGTTGTTATTCATTCGTTCGTTCGTTCATTCAGTTTATGAATGTTTAATGTTAAAAAAAGGAATCCATAAGCATAAGCAGTCTACCACACTATAATGCGGGGCAGGGGCCTTATGGCAGTGTCAGTTCAACAACAGTTCAATTACAGGGCATTACTTGGAGCCAACTAGATATCTTTGCCAGTAGCATTTGTTTAATGTGCGCTCTCTCTCACACCCCCACCCCCACCCACACAGTGTGAGAGCTATTCACCCCTCTGGGTTTTATTCATTTCTCCCAAGCCCCAGAATCTAACAACTCTTGAGGACTGGTACCACACTGCTCTCATTGCTATAAAATTGCTTGTTTCCTGAATTCTCGTCCTCCCTTGCTTCATTGCTTCTATCCTGTTCTTCATTGGACTCCCAGTCTTCCTCCTGACATGCTGTCCTCCCCTTTCTCCTCCTTTACAGGGTTGTTTTTTTTTTACTCCTAAGCATAAAAATGGCATGATATAGTCCAGAGCAGAGCAAATATTCTCCCAGGTGTAGCAAGAAATGACACCCCAAGTGATATGCTGGGTGAAAGGTATGGTTGCCCTTTGAGGTTGGAGGTGAGTGGGGGTTTACCAGTAAAAACAGGATGCTCAAAATGCATCACAAAGGCACACACAGAAAGCCATTGTAACCTGGATTTAATTTGCACCAGAGAGGGTCTCAGATTTTGTGAACTGGACTCCACCTTCTAAACTTAAGCTACTTTCTAGCTACCTTCAGGCCTGAAGGTAGCCCCCAAATTTGCGTTGCAGGCACTGGGAGAACTTGCACCAGCGCCCATTTGACAATTGGCTGTGCATGTGAGGGGTTGTGATCAGGCCCACAAATGTGAGTGCTCTGTTGGGGGAATTGGGGGAACTGTGCATGCAAATTCATGCATCAGACTTGTAAAGTGAGTGGCAAAAAGCAATGGAAGAAAAACAAGGTGCTCAGCAGTTGGAACAAAGGAATTGGGGAGTAGCAGGCAGGGAAGCCTCCAACAAAGACTCCATACATGAGGTGCCATTTGGTCTGAAGTGTATAAGAGATAAATTGGCACTCATAGAATTTTATCACAAACACTCAGGCTGAGCCTGAATGGGGAGAAAACGATTAAAAAATCAGAATGAAAGGAGGTGAGTCAGCCACGCAGCAGCCCTGGCCACTCTCAAGAGGGGCTCCTGAGACCACCTCTTTCTTGATGGGCTGCTTGTCACTGAGGGCCAACGCTGCCAGCAGAGCAAGACTTGCCCTCCCCTAGGGATCAGCGACGGTGCAGGGTGGATTCAATTCAGGCTATATTTTGAAATAAACTACCTACTTTGAAGGTCATATCTGAGACCAAAATAATGTTACTTCACTCAGCAGTGTCCGCGTCTTGTGGGACATTGCCCACATGAAACGGATATCGACAACAAGCAGAATAGCTTCCCAATCAGATTATTAAAATTTGCTGTCTGCCAGGCAGATAGCGGCTGGCCTGGCCATTAAGGATAGAAACTTATTACCAAGTTCCAGGCGTCCGTCTGTTTATTGTCATTGCACAAGGGGCGGGGGGAAGCGCTTGCCTTTACAGTCACCGCCTAACCTCAAAGAAGAGAAAACAAGGCAACAAATAAGATTCAGAACTGCTGAACCAATCCCAAAGTCCCTGCTGGTGCCATGGTGAGACAGGAAGGGAGGAGATGGGTCTCATCATGGAGCCGGGTCTCAAGTTCAAGATCGTCCAGAGTTCACCCTTAAAAATAGGCCGTTTCTGGCAAACTGTTTACAGAGGATTTTGCAGAACATTCTGGTTGCATAGTTCTCAGCACATATTTCTAAATCTGCCCCAAAGAATCCCATGGCTCTTTGCCCTGTTGTCTTCATTAACGCAGTCACATCTGGAGTCATGTGATTTTGTTTGGTTGTTTCGTCCAGCTGGAATAGCAAACTGCTCCACAACAGGAGAAGGGCAGCCAAGCTCACACCGAATCAACTTTGCTCAACTCAACGGTTGTTTGTTTATTGGTGGCTTTTGGAAAACCACGCTTGATCCCTCCTGACGCTGCAGGAAATTTCAGGAAATATTCCAAACTGATTTGCAACATCTATGCCAGGGATGGGGAAACAGTGGCCTTGCACGGGACTGATGGGAATTGTTGTTGAATAGCTCCAGCAGCACCACAACAAGTTCCCCACCTTTTCTTTAGACCAATTGTTTTCAAGTCTTCCATTCAACTTGCCTGTTTCAGAGGCTTTCTGGATGGCTCTGTGCATTGCAAAGGATTCCACAGCATCTTGGTTCATACAAGGTCTTGGCTGTTGAGCCTATGAGGTACCCTTAGGTCGTGACCTTGCATAGCCTAAGGGTTTCTCATAGAAGAATCCCAGGATCCAGAGTTCCCTGGCAGGGAGACTACGATCAGGTGGTGTTAGAGCCAATGGCAGGCAGAGCTAGCTAATTCTGGTTTTGTCCTCCTCCCTGCTGAATTCAACAAAAGCAACACAAGCAGTGTACACACCATATATTTAAAGTGCATGACTTTTCCCAAAGAATCCTGAAAACTGTAGTTTACCCCTCATGGGGCGACAATTCCCAGCACCTTTACCTAGCTACAGTTCCCATTATTCTTTCTCTCTCTGTGTGTGCTTTAAATACAAGATGTGCACATTGCTGGAGACTGATGAGGCTGACAAGCAGTGCTGACCCTAAGCTGATTGTGAGGAAGCAGGCAGGCAGGTGGAGGCTGGCTGAGAGCAATGCTTTGTGGGACGGTGCCCCATGTGCCCTGATGCACCAGTCTCCACTGATGTGCATGTGCAAAGTCTGGGGATGGGTGTGTCTGATTCTGCAAACAGGGAGCAGTGAATTTATTGCTCCCTGATCAGCAGCCAGCAGCCTTTCAGAGAGCAGCAAGTCAGGGCCACAACACAGACGAATCCTTCCTTCCTTCCCCACAGGAAACTCTCTCTCTCTATATAAGCAAGTAGGTTCCAGTTGCTGATTTTGGCTGCTCTCCGGGGTCTCTGAGAAGCAGAAAGAAAGGCAAGGGCATGGGAAGGAAAACTGGGGCCACAGGTTTGTCTCCTTGCTGGGATTCATGCCGACAAGGAGCCACAGAGCCA